AACGTTTTTGCTGATATGAACTGGCAGGGTCATTCTGAGACGTGTGCAGCAGCTGTACCTGTGATGGGTATCAGCACCCACGGGATGGTCTTCTCTCCGAGCAGGTTGACGCCGCGCTGCTGTCCGCCTGAGTCTGAGCACGGGCTGAACGCTTCTAGACTGCTCAGGCTCCCGGCCGTCTCCTCCTGAAAGCACAACAGCAGCGTCAGACGCCTTTAAACACATCACTGGAGGAACGCAAACTAGCAGAACAATAAACAATACTTTGGCTAGATGTGAAACTAGCAACTGTTGTTGAAGTCAAGAACATCATAAAGTATTCAAACATCTGCTCCTGTTGTTCATCTTTACATTTATTAACTGTAATAAATAAGCCAGAACAATGGCTTTTCATATAGGCCAGCTTTGACTACTACTAGAGAATAATACATGAGTAGAGTTAAGATCAAGGTGCACACTGATCAACACAGGTACCTCGAGGCCGTCGGTCCTCCCGGGCTCGTCGTCGTGGATGAACCTCTTCCTCAGGTCGATGTCCCGGTCCGTGGGGAGGCCGAGTCTCAGCATGCTGTCGAACAGCGCGGTGTCAGAGATGTCGTCCGCCTCCTTCAGCTCGGAGTCGGCGGGGGACTCGGAGGAGGCTCTGGTCAGGGTGTCGATCAGCTTGATGACCTCCAGCGCCCCGTGGCTCTTGTCTTTGCGCAGGTCTGTGTCGAGACTGGTCTTCCCGAAGCTCTCCAGCATCTGCATGACCTTCAGCGCACTCTGAGACTTGTCCTTCCTCAGGTCTGTGTCCTGAAGGCCGACGCTGCTCAGGACATCAGAGAGATGAGGAGCAGACTCCCGCTCATCCGCTGACGAGTGAGAGAGATAATTAGGGCAGAATTAGGTAAATTATGCCAATACCCTCTACTAATACACGTTGAGAAACGAGCCATCACATTTTGGAAACATCTAAAAATGAGTGACCCCAAATCTTATCAATTTAAAGCCCTTAAAACCCATGAAATGAACCCTGAGAAGAGCCCGCTCGTTTAGCTGGTCCTGCGGCTCCACACAAACACTAACACCAGTAACCATCCTCCGCCTCAGGACACAGACACCTCAGCCACACAATCCCAACCACGTCATACAAGCACAACGAGAGAACAAAGCAACCTTGAATGTTGTTTGGCCCTAAATAGAGACTACACCACCACAGAATACCTGAGTACAGTGAAAGGCTGTACATTAAGGAGGAGGATGACGAGGTACAGACTGAGCAATCACACTCTGAATGTGTGTGTGTGTGTGTGAGTCTTGGCCTTGATTAGCTGTTTCAGGTGCGTTTAATTGGGGTTGGAGCTAAACTCTGCAGGACAGTGGGCCTCCAGGACCGAGTTTGGACACGTCAGCAGGGACTTTTTACACAAAATTAGAAGTTTTGATACGGTGACATTAAAAACAAACACAGTAGAGAGTTGAATTCTGTATCCTGACATTAAGCACTTTGGTTAACTGTGGGTTTTTTTATGCTATACAACTATACAGTGCAAACAAGACTCTGAAATGACCCTTTGCACCGATGAATGTAAAATCCCTAATCCCGCCGATTCCCCGAGGCTCCTCACCTTCCGCGAGCTCATCGCTGGGCTTGCTCCTCAGACGTTTGGCGGCTCCCTCGGCAGCGTGGAGCTCCCCCTTCCTCTTCTCCGCGGCCTCGGCCCCTGCGCCGCCCTGCGAGCTCTTCTTGTTGAGCTGGATGAGCTCCAGCAGCTCCTGCACTCTCTCGGGGTTCTCCTGAGCGGTGCCGGCGTGGACCAGCTCCTCCACCTCCGCCTTCAGGCCGTGCAGGCCCAGCGTGAACAGGCCCGGGCTGTAGATGTAGGGCCGCAGGAACGGCTCTATGCTGGGCTTCTGCCGGGGGGCGGGGAACAGCTTCTCCCGCACGTCCAGCTTGGGGTCGTAGTCGGTGCGCACGCGCTGCATGGGCTTGCCCAGCCGCAGGTGCGTGAGGTACTCGCACACCGACTGCTGTACGCAGGCGCTGGGGTCGGCGGGGGGGTCTGCACGGGCCTTGCTCAGGGCCAGATGTAGAGCGGACACGAACGAGTCGTGCTGGGGCATGACGGGACCCCAGCGCTCGGAGGACGCCGGCCGACAGGGAGCCGCTGATGCACAGACACAAACATCATTAGTGAATAATACACTAACTATTAACATCAGAAATAAGATTATTGAGCTATTGCAAATATAAAAACGCAGATAGCTTTTCAAACATTGTGTCTAACTACCATGTTTCCATTTAATGTTGTGAATTTAACTTATGCAGGGTTAGAATATGGCATACACCATCTGCTAATGAAGTGAACACAATTCAAGTGAACACAATCGTCACTTACTGGGAGATTCTGTACAAAAAAAAGAAAAAAGGATATCGGTTGCTGATATCGGGGAAGAAACTGGCTCTTTTATCCTCCATCATAAATGCCAGACGAAACACAATAAACGCTGTCATGTTTTCTTGAAATGTCTAAAATTATCATCTATAGATGTGCATATTGAGCTGGAAACACTTTTTATCCGAATAAGAAGTGTGGTGGATTTATAACAGATAAGATTATGTTACCAACCATAAAAATCTGATTTTAGATTTTTATCCTATAATAAACGTTTATCATGCTTCTTATTTGTATGTCTGATGGTGACTAACTTTCCATTCTAGATCTAACAATGAACCAAAATAAATTTGACCATCTAACCATCTAAAACACTTTTGAATCAATGGAACCCTTGGTCAATGGAAACTTGGTCAATGCAATCTTGGTCAATGGAACCCTTGGTCAATGGAACACTTGGTCAATGGAACCCTTGGTCAATGGAACCCTTGCTCAATGGAACCCTTGCTCAATGGAAACTTGGTCAATGGAACCCTTGGTCAATGGAACTCTTGGTCAATGGATCCCTTGATCAATGGATCCCTTGGTTAATGGAATTTTGGTCAATGGAACCCTTGGTCAATGGAACCCTTGGTCAATGGAACCCTTGGTCAATGTAATCTTGGTTAATGGAATCCTTGGTCAATGGAATCTTGGTTAATGGATCCCTTGGTCAATGGAACCCTTGGTCAATGGAACCCTTGGTCAATGGAATTGGTCAATAGAACCCTTGGTCAATGGAACCCTTGGTCAATGGAATCTTGGTCAATGGAACCCTTGCTCAATGGAACCCTTGGTCAATGGAACCCTTGCTCAATGGAACCCTTGGTCAATGGAACCCTTGGTCAATGGAACCCTTGGTCAATGGACCCTTTCTCAATGGAACCCTTGCTCAATGGAACCCTTGGTCAATGGAACCCTTGGTCAATGGAACTCTTGATCAATGGATCCCTTGGTTAATGGAATTTTGGTCAATGGAACCCTTGGTCAATGGAACCCTTGGTCAATGTTATCTTGGTTAATGGAATCCTTGGTCAATGGAATCTTGGTTAATGGATCCTTGGTCAATGGAAACTTGGTCAATGGAACCCTTGGTCAATGGAACCCGTGGTCAATGGAACCCTTGGTCAATGCAATCTTGGTCAATAGAACCCTTGGTCAATGGAATCCTTGGTCAATGGAATCTTGGTCAATGGAACCCTTGGTCAATGGAACCCTTGGTCAATGAAATTAGTGGAATGGAAAAACTTCTACAACAGAAGACATGCTCAAAAACTACAATGGAAACACATTTACTGAATAAATCTCTTGAAGGGCAACAATAAACTCAGCTGACTTTCCCTAAGCGGAGGCTGTGATTGGATTACTGGAGCAACCAGTGGACCAATGGCATTGCAGCTTCTCAGATGCTGGTTTGGTGTTCCTGAAACACCGGAGCCGAAGTCTGTGATCAGTATGATTGGGTTTAACTCCCTCCAGAAGTGCCTCACGAGTGTGTTCACACGCGTTCTGAGACACAATCATTTATGATGGAGGGAAAAGAGCCGATTGCAGAAACTTACAGCGCCGGTTTCACAGGAAGTGATGATTTTGTTCTCTTGAACACATGGGAAGGAAACATTGCTTTATTTGCAAATGTTTTACACTATATTCCAACCCTGCATAAGTTAAATTCACAACTGGATGGAACACGGATACTGGTATTTGTACCAACTACTGGGTGTTTGTATGGTGATGACACTAAAGTAAAGCTAAAGTAAGATTAACTGTGTATGTTTGTGACTAGACTCATGATTCATAACATCGGTTTAACACCACACACATTTGAAGATAATACAATCACTTCCAATCACTTAATAAAATATGTTAAACGAATGTGCTTGCAATACTTTGGCCAAGCATTCACGTGTGTGTGTTTGCATAAAACATGCTTCTGGCTTTAAGAAGCTTCATGTGGATTTAACAGTGTACATGTCTCCATACTCACGGCTCTTTAACAGCTCTCGCTTCTCTCGATAAATGAAAAGTGCTTGTATACACGACATCTTCCAGCCGCCTCGTCGCTCTGTAAAATCAAAGACATATGAAATATTTCAAAGATGGATTTGTGTTACACTGCCATTTCACCATCATTAGCTCATACCGCTGGAGTTGGCCATTTGACTGGAGGAGAGCAAGAAGAGGAACCCTCTGTCCTTCACCATGTTCACCAGCACCTGCAGAGACACACACAGTCAGCTGACGAACAGCAGCCACACCCGAGCCGCACTCGAGCCGCACTCACCAGTCCCTGCTCCTCCAGAGTCTGCAGCAGAGCGCTCAAGCTCTTGTCCTTCTCCACCACGTCAAACAGACAGCAGACCATGCCATTCTTACACACTGCCAAAACAAAACAGACACAGTATATTTACACCAGGATATCGTACCTCTGCTCAATGCAACTTTAACATCCCTACAAATGCGCAGAACAACAAGCAAACCAAACAAATAATACACATCACAACAGAACTACATCTGCTGTAACTCAACTACGTATCGTACTATATTGTGGACATTAGGGCCGCAATATAGTACAAAAAATGGACATTGCAGAGTCTGAATACATAGCGATATGAGAAAATACAGGCATGTTCACCAGATGACTAGAATAGTTATATTTGGAAAGAACACCATATCTGTATCGGCCGATATATATTCACTTTTAATGTTATCGTTATTGGCCCAACGAGACATATTAAGGCCAATCTATAATAATAATAATATATATAAGCGCATTGACAACGGAGTTACACCTTCATGACTAGCACAGACAAGTTTGCTTGTGCATTCACAGTCTTTTGTTGTAATTTGAAGTTTATTTTGTGTATATCATCTCATATAGGATGTGTTTGGTTAAGAATTAATGCAGTGGCCTCTGCGGAGGCTATTCCATTCTATTCATCCATGAGATCTGCATATTCTTTCATTATACAGAGGTAATGCTGTCCAATGACTTGCTTGCATTATTTAGGCATTGTTTCATTTCTTTGTAAGTCTCTCTCTCTCTCTTCAGTGTAAAATTGATTTTAAAAGTTAAGCAATCTTACACTGGTTCACTATAGGCTACTGTACTGTATATGTTTTATTATGTTGAAGCTTGGGACTACATTTAAAAGGTGAGACTTGTTTTTTTATAATCAGGCTCTCAAAAATTACATAAAAATTGGGATTTAGATGTGTTGGCCAATATAACGGTTATCGGCTTTAAAATGTAAAGAATGATCGGTATCGGTGAAAACGTTGATTTCAGTGCATCCGTAATCCTTCTAGGGCTGAACGCTTTGGGACATGGTTGACCAACAGTAACCCCCTTCAGGAACCATAACATGCGCAGAGTTTACAAAACATCTCTCTTCACAGGGCACATTCCCACAGTTCCTGAACAATCCAATATAAAACAACAGTAATGTCTGTGAAACCTTCGTGGCTGCCGGTGTAGATGCTCCAGGAGAAGAGTGCGGGCGACATCTTCTGCTTCACCTGCTGCAGACGCATCACGGTGCCCACCTCGATCTTCTCCGGCCTGAGGACACAGCAGCAGAGGGTCAGCGGGAACACAGGCACACAAGCGGCCGCTGCTGTCTAAGGGAGGACTCACAATTTGTACGGCAGGAACGGGCGGGAGAGCGAGCGAAGGCAGGCCTGGTACATATCTCTCCCCTGGTTCACGAAGTGCCCACGCCACACGGTGTAGCTGCGCCTGCCTGTCACACACCACAGGGAGGACCGTTAGACACACAAGCAGGACAAACACGTATGCTATCATCCCTTCCATACAACAACAGTTCATTAAGACTAAATTACAAAGTCCCTTTAAGGCTAGTCATTCACTCGGTGGCCATCTTTGAACTGTCACAACATCACATTCACATTCTCCAAAGCTGTTCGCTAAACCTCATATTTGAAATCAATGAAATCTGACAACAACTGTCTCATAAATGTATGTATATATATATATATATATATATGCACACACATACATACATATATATATATATATATATATATACACACACACACACAGTATATACACATATATATATATATATATATATATATATATATATATATTAGGGCTGGGTATTGAGACAAATTTCACAATTTGACTCGATTCGATTCAATATCGATTATTTTGGATATCAGTTACAATAAATGCCAATTTTTCTCAAGGGAATCAAATCTCTTAAATGCTGTAAACTATGGGAGTCTAGTTGTAGCCTATAGACTTCATTAGCCTAATATGAAGGTAATAATGAACTGTTTTGTAGCTATACAAACACTTAAATTACACTTTTATTTATTTTTATAATAAGAAGATTATATGAAATATAAACATTTAAATGGTGGCTGTCATACAAACTTGCCAGATTTATTCAAATATGCATTAAATATTGAAGAACATTAAGATTATAATGCATATGTAATATGGTGTATATATTTAGCAAAATGCTCCTCTCTAGAGTTATTTTTTTTCTAGCTGACTAATGAGTTTATGTGGGTTTTCTGAGGTAAATATGACGATACATTGATTACAAGCTGTTTAACTGACGTCTTTCCACGGTTGAAACGCTGATTGAGCGAATCAATGTGACATGATACGTATTTCGATAAATTGTACTCTATCTTTAACACACTTTCAGATGCTCATTCATGTTTATTTCGAGCTGTGACTGGTATTATTAACCCGGAAGAGAGATCAGCGCTGCTGCTTCTCTTGAGCTGCGCCAGAGCGATCTCATGCCACAGCGCCAAAACGCTATTTATGTTTTTGAATTTCTAAAGAATATGGACGTAATTTGAAAATTGAGACTTTGTTTCATATCAATAGTAACAAAGGACAAAGATTAATGCGATTTTTTGGATGCGTGCAGCCATGATACAATGTCCCATTCATTCAAATGAAACAGGATGACTAATCGATTCTTGAGATTTAAGAATCGATATCGGTTTGTAAAAATGAGAATCGATTAATATCTAGAAATCGATGTTTATTACCCAGCCCTAATATATACAGTATATATATATATATATATATATATAAAATGACTTATTGAGATTTTCACAATCACATTAACTTTCTACAGCGAACCTTATAAAGACTGAATCGTAAATTTCTGGCACTTCAACTCGTATACAGAACCATATATATATACCCTGGGAAAACCAAGACAACTTCCGCCAAATTTAGATTTGCACTGAAAGTTAGTCTGGCAAAGAGCTCATTCAAGGCCATTTCCAATCCACCGAAAACACGGCACCAATCAGAAACGTTGGGGCGAGCTTTACACGATGACGACAGCACAGCGACGGTGAAGCAGATTTTGTACATTTACAAAGGGGTGTGACAGTTATAGTTGAATACTGTCATTAGAACTCTATAACCGCCAAAACCATGTTATTAAATTATTTTTTTCACAAACATTTTTTATCATAGAGAATGTTTAAATACTAATATCAGCTTACGAGGGAAACGGAGGTCGAGTTAGTGGTGCTTCAGAGACTGCTACTGCTGGAGATGATTCGGGAGAGGCCTGTGTTTTTTATACCGATCAGACCGCGCGCTGACACGGAGTAAAGCCTTGTTGATACTCGACGCGTCCGCACGAGCGCGAAGGTGCCCGGCAAAAATGACGCGTTCGGTGCGCAAGACCGACCCCATTTCCCTTAGCTGTGTGCATGGCTTTTTTTGTAGCGGTGCCGCGTCCGAGGATGATCGACTTCAAGCCGAATCTGCCGGAGCATGTATGTCTCACCCATAGACAGTAAGGTCTCACCATACAGGTGTGTCTAAATTGCAAAGTTCATTGCAAAGTTTTTTTAAGGTTTTGTTTACTGTGTGTGATAATGGAAAGGACATTCACTTATAGTTGTCTTGCTGTTCATTTTAAATAAACGTAGAGCAAGTAGCTAATCTCAGATTGTCTGCTCGTTTATTCAAACAGACAAATGTCGCTCTGCATACGTCATCTCCTTCAGCGCTCTGATTGGATTTAGGTCTATCCAATTGCGCCTTTGAGGCATTTGAGCTACGTCCGTTGGTGACGCCCCTCTGGAAATGATTTGTCTATGAAGCTTTTTTTACAGACCATAACTCAGTTACAAACTGAGATGGTCTGGTTTTAACCAGGGTACCATATTGAATGTTGTTTCTTTGTTTTGAGGTTTTTTGGGGGTGTCTATATAAAGTCACAAAAGCTGCTTAGGTTGATGACGCCAGTAACCGTCCCTAAAAGCAGATTTATGATTAGCATTTACTCAGAGAAGCACGTGTTTGTTATAGTAATATGAGTGCAGCATAAAGTACACAGACTATATAAACTGTTGTAGTGAAGGAAAAGAGATGTAATAGCACGTGTCGTGCTGAAGTGGCGCCTACCTCTGCTCGTCCCCGATGGCTGACTGCTGGTCCTGAGGAACAAACACAACCTCCATTAAACTGCACTTCTGTGAGTCACAACACCAAGATTTAATACTTAATATCATATTCAAGAATATTAATAAAAATAATGCATTTATAACATGCTTTTCTTGAACTCAAAGCGCTAAAATACACAAAAAAGAAAAACAACAATAAGATACAATAAAACAAACACATTCATTTGCAATAAGCAGATCTAAAAAGGTGTGTCTTTATTCTTAAAACAGTCCAATGTTGGAGAGTCTCTAATTCCCGATGGTAGAGCAGTCCATAGACGTGGTGCTGAGACCGAAAATGCTCGACCACCCATTGATTTTAATTTATATTGGGGCTGCAGAAGAGCGCAGAGAGCAATCGGGAGTGTGAGAGGTAACTAAACTGCAGAGATAGGCAAGGGGCTGAACAGCTTTATACGTTATACCAGTGTTTTGAATTCGATACGTGGTTGTATTGGCAATTTGGCAATGCCAGTCATGGGGAACATGGGAAATATGTTGTCGAGCAGTTGTATGTGTCAATAGCCGGGCGGCTAAATTTTGAATATATTGTAGTTTTTTGATGGGTCGATTTGGGAGACCAGCATAGAGTGCATTGCGATAATCAAGTCTCGACATAATAAAGGCATGAATAAGCCTTTCTGCATCTTGGAGTAGTCTAGCGATATTTCTAAGATGGAAAAATGCAGTTTTCGATGTCATTTTAATATGAGCATCGAACATCAGTTCTGGGTCAAAGATAACGCCAAGATTGCACACTTGTGAGGATGGAGTTAACAAAGGCATGGCCAGTAATCAAATTTTTTAGTTTAGTTTAGTTGTTAAGTTTAAGTAAACCCGTTGGCATACCGACGAATAGAAGTTCTGTTTTTGATTCGTTGAGCTTAAGAAAGTTGTCATGCACCCAGGCTTTTATCTCATCCAAGCAGGTGGGAAGAGCTGTAACCGCAAGGTTTGGATTAGGGTGCGTGCTAATATAGATCATAACAATGAAACCCTAACCCAAACTTACGAATGATGTCACCCAAAGGCAACATATAAATACTAAATAAGATGGGACCAAGCACAGACCCTTGTGGGACACCCTGCTGAACTAGTGTGGGTATAGATTTGTCTTTACCCAAAGACACAAACTGGAAACAATATTATTGATCTGCTGCATTGACACCATTATATGAGAACTGAGCTGGACGATGACATCCCGGTTTTCTGTAGAGCGGCGCAGACCAGAATTAATCATCCCCTGGTAAATATGATATAAAATGGCTGTAAAAAAATAAATCCGCATTGTTTATCCTTTTGATCTTTCATTCAAAAAATTGGCAAAATTCTAACCTTTCGTTTAAGTAAAAGAATTGAAAGTGGGGGGGAAATCACATTATAAAATAAATGTTTTTCTCCAAAACACATTGGCCACAATTATTCATACCCCTAGAATTTTTTATGAATAAAATGTCTATGAAGTATATTCCCATTAATATTTACCTTTTTTAGCACACTAGGGTAACTAGGAACATGAAATTGTCCAGTCATGACTTCTTGTTTCACAGGAGTTTAAATATGAAGAAGCACAAAGGCCAAATTTCCTGAATCATCCATCACAATGAATAAAACCAAAGAACATGGTTCTGATGTGCATCAAAAGATTGTTGAGCTTCACAAAATAGAAACTGGATGTAAGAAAAATAGCTAAAGAATTGAAAATTCCCATTTTGACCATCAGGGCAATAATTAAGAAGTTATAATCAACTAAAGATGTTACGATTCTGCCAGGAAGAGGACGTGTGTCTATTTTGCCTTAATGGACAGTGAGGATGAAAGTTTGAGTGGCCAAAGACTCTTCAAGGATCACAGATGGAGAATTGCAGAGATTATTTGAGTTTTGGGGGTCAGAAAGCCTAAAAGAAATATCAAACAACCCCTACATCACCACATGTTGTTTGAGAGGGTTTCAAGAAAAATCCTCCTCGCTCATCCAAAAACAAACTCCAGCATATTCAGTGGTCAGACACGACTGGATCTTCAAACGGCACAGGGCTCTGTGGTCAGATGAGACTAAAAAAAAGAGCTTTTTGGCAGTAAGCACACTAGATGGGTTTGGTGGACATGAGGATAAAAAGTACCCCATTTGTACAATTTAATATACCATTGGATCTTTAATATTGGGAGCCTATTTTTCTGCAGGAGGTCCTGGACTTCTTATTCAGACACATGCCATTGTGGATTCTATCAAATATCAACAGATAAAAAAAAAATCTAATCTAAAAATCTTCTGCTAGAAATCTTATAATGGGCCGTGGTTGGATCTTCCATCAGCGAAACGATCCAAAACAAACATCAAAATCAACACAAAAAATGTGTTAGGGAGCACAAAATGAAGCTTCTGCCATGACAGTCCTAGACCCTGACCTGAACCATATAGAAAATGAGTGGTCTGAACTGAAGAGAAGAAGCACCAACATGGATCTGGGAATCTGAAGGATCTGGAGAGAGTCTGTATGGAGGAATGGTCTCTGATCTCTTGTCAGGTGTACTCCAAACTCATCAGGCATTATAGCAGAAAATTCAGAGCAGTTATCTTGGCAAAAGGAGATTGCAAAAAGGTATTTAATAAAAGGGTATGAATAATTGTGGCCAACGTGTTTTGGAGAAAAACGTTTATTTTATAATGTGATTTCCCCCCACTTTCAATTCTTTTACTTCAATGAAAGGTTAGGATTTTGCCAATTTTTTTTTAATGAAAGATCAAAAGGATAAACAATGCAGATTTATTTTTACTGCTATTTTTTATCACATTTACCAGGGGTATGATTAATTCTGGTCACGACTATATACAGTATATATATATATATATATATATATTAATGAACTAAATGAATAACTTTTTTACAACTAAAATGAGCCATCACTTGACTTAAGCTGGACTGTGACGCTATTTTCTTCTGGAAACAAACTGTGTAGCATTATTATCCTGTTATCTCTGTAAAGCTGCTTTGAAACACTCTGTGCTGTTAACTAAAGCTGACTGGACATGAGCGCGAGTGCAGGAGAGCGGGAGTACCTGAGCGGAGCAAGGGGTTTGGGCACGGCCGTGGAGGTCTCTCTACTCTTGAAGCTGTACGAGACCACAGCGTACGGACACACGTGTCTCGGCCGGGACGAGATCTCGAAGTCCACGTACTCGTAGAAGTATTGCTGTAAAGAAAGACTCATCAGACGTCTCACACAAAACACATGCGCTTATGACCCTCCAATCAAGCCGTAACGCCGTGTGCGGTGTGCATGTGGTACAAGAGCAGCACGCGCTATCATGCTTTCACGTATCATGTTTTCAGTGCGTAACTGATCCGCGGCTGTAACAAAGATATACGCACTATTTTTATTTCAAATCCAGAAGTTATGCAGCAACTTTTATTAAAATAAAAAGTTTTGGCAGCATTGCGATTCTCTTTACACATATACAAATTTGAATGCACGTATGCGCGTTTAAACACAATTTAAACAACGTAGGCATTATAATTCCATGCATTACTTCTATATATATTAAGTTGCTCAAGCGAGTGATCAAATATTTAACCATGTACTTATATTAAAATCGCAAACATTTTAAATTAAAACTTAAAAGTGACAAAAACAGCTGACTCTCATGCCTTTTCTTTTGCATTTAAATTTTAATACAATAAATCTTGCACGTCACAAAGAACTGTTTTTTCCACCTCCACGAACGAGTCGAGTGTCGTTCATTATGTCCTTGTTGAGGTAAATTGTAGTTTTCCTTGCTTAAAACCCTGGTCTTAAAGTAAAAAGATGAAAAGTAGTATTTGATTAAATTCATTTATGGTGAAACTACTACATTTTCAGGTCAATCTGTGTTCATTTTGACCACAAACCATGCGCTGTCACTTTAATTCAGCGTTTGCAGCACAGCAGAATAGACTCGGGGCGGAGACGATCTCTGCACTGCTGTATACACACCGCAAGTGGAACGGATCGACGGGCCAGTGTGAAAGCTCTAACCTGTTAACATGGGTGCGGAAAAAAATACACACCGCATACGCACTGGAGATGGAGTATGTGTGAAACAGGCCGTAACACTTCACAATAATGTTCATTAGTTAATGTAACAACGAACCATGAGCAACACATCTGTTATTGCGTCATCTTTGTTAACGTTAGCTTGCTGTTCATTGTTTGTTCATGTTAGTTCACGGCGCATTAACTAATGTTAACAAATACAAACTTTGATTTTAATAATGTAGTTCATGTTGAAATTAATATAAATTAAGATTAATAAATGCGGTAGAAGTATTGTTCATTCTTAGTTCATGTTAGCGTAACCGATCATCAGTGTTTCAGTATCGACTCGTCCTTCAGTGAGGAAGCAGCGTGTTTACCTGAGTGTACTCGAACGACCTGTACGCCTGCAGTGATGTCACGCGCGTTGAGTTCTTGGAGAAGTGGCTGTCAAACTTAGGAGTGGGATCTATACATCTGGACATACAGTCATGCACACTCTTGACTTTACCCTGGGGGACACAAGATCGGACATTTCTCAGACTCCACGACGCCACGAGTTTCATCTGGACACAACACATTATCAGCTGCGGATGTACCTTAATGACTTTGAATATGACGATGTTTCCCGTGGATCCAGGCTCGATGGGGGTGATCTGAAGCAGGTCAGAGAACTGACACAGGTAAACCCCTGCAACATCAACACATTCAGCGTTCACTGGAGGTCACGACACAGCTCACACACAGCAGAGTCGACACGGCTCTCACACACAGCAGAGCGGCCGTATGCACTCTCCGCAGAAATGCAACCAGTACTTCATCAGTGCATTCATGAATACATTGGTCATTTGGTAACATTTTACTTGAAGGGTTGTGCATAAGACTGACAATGTTATGAATATGAAGGAGGTTTTATACATGTTTATGACAACTGTCATTAGGGGCCATTCGCTCAGTTATGACATTTTTAATGCAAATATGACATTGTTTGAGATGTCTTTGTTATGACACCTTGACATAAACCAATACATCATAACCTGTCAGTGTCTTTGTCATGACAACTTGACAATACTAAGACAACATAACCTGTAATAAACATGACATAGCAGATTAATGATCAAACTTAAGAAACCACCTAGCTTGCCACCTAGCTTCATGAAGCCATTATAACATTTTAATGACAAATTTAATGTGTACCACTGTAGTTGAGATCACGAAAAATATTCATGACACAGTTATAATGCCTCATGACAGCCAATGTCAAAGAAAACCACCTGACAGTTTAATGTAATGTTAACCCATACAGCTAAGTGCTTTCTTAAGTTTGATAATTAATCTGCTGTGTCATGTTTCTGAAATATTTATGTATTGGTTTATTTCAAGTTGTCAAACAAGGACACCTCAAACAATGTCATATTTGCATTAAAAATGTCATAATTGAGCCAATGACACTTTTATAAACACAAAAGAATTTATAAAGTGTTTTTAATTTTCAGATTTTGGCTAAATGGATATTTTAATGTAGGTGTTTTGATCAAAAATTATAATTTCGGTACATCACTAATTGTTACTATTATTTTAAATATTGTTTGTATTTTTGTTCAAGAAACATTACTATACTAATAATTCTATTGTACTGAAAAATAAAACTAAATATCTATAAATAAAAACGAATTACTAATGTTTATAATAATACCAATAATAATGGAAAACTGCATGCAGAGCTTAAAGCTTCTCATTGGTTGATGATTCTTATGGTCAGATGGTGTGTGTGATGACGCACGGTGATGCGCCGAATGGACCGGTGAGTGTGTGTAGTGTGAAGGTTTGACCTTTCGCTGGATTCCCCAGCATGTTCATCCAGCTGCTCCCCACAGACAGGCCTCTCTCACACACCACGGAGACCTGCACACACACACACACACACACACACACACTCTAGCGGTTACAGCAGAACCCCAGCACACGCTGCTATCAGCACTCAGACCAGGACGAGGTTTACCTTCTGAGCGTCACACAAGAGGAAGCAGAAGGATTCAGACAGCTCCTTCTCCGTGCGCCCGTCCAGCTTCAGCTCCCGCCGCTTCTCCATGAACTGCACACGCAACATCACAACATCACTATACACGCACACGTGAAGTATTACTTGTCCATGCAGCTACACACGCCTGACTCTCAGTTTACTACACTGTTTAGCCCTGCTGAAAAAAACAATAGAAACCATTACAGAATTCCTAATGGTTTTAAAGGTTTTAAAGGGAAATATATTGGTTTTAATGGAAAATGTAATGGTCCTAGTAGGTCTTTATTGGTAATTTGCTTTCTTCTATTGGTGGCATGTTTTGTCTTTTTCTCTGTATTGGTTTTAATTGAAACTGTGATGGTCCTAGTAAGTCATCTTCATCATGAGGGCACAGCCAGCCAATGCGCTTGGAAATGAAGTGCATGTGAATAGTTCACCCAAAAATGAACATTTCCTGGTTATTTGCTCACCCCAAATACCATCCAAGATGTATATGAATTTCATTCCTGAGCTTAAGAGAAATTAAATCAAATAATTCTTAAATTATATCAATTTTAACAGCCAATGCTGACCTTATTCCAGCTCTGCGAGTCTCATGAACGTGCTACACTGGGTTGGAACAAGGTGAGCATTGGTTGTTTAGTAGTATATCATTGTTTTCCTGAAAATGACAGATTGTGTCACTAGATATTTGTCCGCTGGGGTCACATGGAGCCCTAAAATATAGTGGGCACCATTCACTTGCATTAGATCCTGGAATGTTACATTTTCTCTTCGGCTGAGGAAAGGAAGACATCTTGGATGGCCTTGGGCTTATCAGGAAATGTTCATATTTGAGTGAACTATTCCTTCTAATGCCAGATATCAAGCAAGCCTTAGAATAGCGGCACAGACACTATATTAAAGTTGAATCTGACACAAAAACAGTGTATTGAGTATTTACCACTATACATCGCTGTCAGTGACATTCGGCACACTTTTTATTGCCTTTTTCCCCTTTCCCTTTCTGATTTCTCCATGCTCAGACCGCTGAGGCAGTTACAGGTGTGGCCTATACACCGACTCAAGGGCATGTGTGCTGGGATCAACGGCGAGGCAAGCAAACATCTGAACTCGTGGCCAAAACATCTGATCTGTTGAGTCTAGTGTGGCATTCCCTTCTCTTGTTAGGGTGACCTTGAGCGTAGTACACAAACATCGCTAGACACTCGCAACAGGCTGTGTGTTCCTCCTACACCTGGAGAGTGTCTTCTGTTAGACGTCACTAACTCTCGACAAACATCTACATGATTATTCTTTATACAGGTGTCGAGCTTATTTATAGATCATATAAGAGCTCACGTCTTTCTCCAGCGGGTCGTTGTGCACAAGGCGAGGCTTGGAGTACAGGAACGTCCCAGCGGAGGAGCTGTCCTTATAGCTGGAGGTGAGGATCTGCTGGATCTCGGAGAACTCCCGGGACTCCAGGGACACATGCTGAAACAGAGCTGCGGACGAGAACAGAGGCGTCACACACACACACACACACGACTGCTCAAACACATCACCTGTGGGAAACAACTAATGTACATACATATCTTATAACTATTGATGTGCGACTGACGCGCGGCACACAGGTGCTTTAGTGGATGATGATCAGTGACGCCCTCTGTTGGCAGGGAATGCAAGATGGCGCTCGAACACAGCAGGTTACAATACACTCCTTTATATAGCTCATCTATATATAGCTCATTATTAGCTCATTTATATATTTATCTCATTTATATATATTTATATACTGTATATTCTATTATTATAATTTATTATATAATTTATATTTTTTATATAAATTACAAACCCAATTCCATGAAAGTTGGGACTGTACAAATTGTGAATAAAAACAGAATGCAATGATGTTGAAGTTTCAAATTTCAATATTATATTTAGAATACAACATAGATGACATATCAAATGTTTAAACTGAGAAAATGCATAATTTTAAGGGAAAAATAAGTTGATTTTAAATTTCATGGCATCAACACATCTCAAAAAAGTTGGGACAAGGCCATTTTTACGACTGTGTGGCATCCCCTCTTCTTTTAATAACAGTCTGCAAACGTCTGGGGACTGAGGAGACAAGTTGCTCAAGTTTAGGAATAGGAATGTTGTCCCATTCTTGTCTAATAAAGGCTTCTAGCTGCTCAACTGTCTTAAGGCCAATTTATACTTCTGCGTCGAGGGTACGCCGTAGTGTACGGCGTTGGCTACGCACGTAGGCGACGCCGTTGTGAGCATTTATACTTCTGCGTTCAGGTCTTGGTTGCTCTGCAGTACTGCTCCGAAACGCTAGTTGGCGGCGGAGAGTTTTAATGTTCCACTGTGTTTAGATTCCTCGCGGCTAGGTTACTACGAGTGAAAGAGAGCTGATCATGTTGGAGTCGGAGCTTATTAAGGTGGAAAAACAGTTCACTTTAGTGAAATTACTAAAACTGAAAGGCAGAAATGAGAGAAGACTTCGGAGGAGACGAAACGTGTGGAAATCATAGACAGTGGTGGAAATGCGTGAGAAGGTACGTGCGGAAATGCGTAGGAGGAAATGCGATGCTACCAAGCCGACCAATCACCGATCTTGCGGTCCGCGTCGTCGCGACGTGTAGTTACATTTTTGAGGAGGTGCGCGTCAGGCGACGGCGAAGGGTACGCGGTATGGGACGCGTCTGTGCGTATGCTACGCCGTACCTACAGCGCGCACCCTACGCAGAAGTATAAATTGGCCTTTAGGTCTTCTTTGTTGCATCTTCCTCTTTATGATGCGCCAAATGTTTTCTATGGGTGAAAGATCTGGACTGCAGGCTGGCCATTTCAGTACCCGGATCTTTCTTCTACGCAGCCATGATGTTGTAATTGATGCAGTATGTGGTTTGGCATTGTCTTGTTGGAATACAAGGTCTTCCCTGAAAGAGACGATGTCTGGATGGGAGCATATGTTGTTCTAGAACTTGGATATACCTTTCAGCATTGATGGTGCCTTTCCAGATGTGTAAGCTGCCCATGCCACACGCACCCCATACCATCAGAGATGCAGGCTTCTGAACTGAGCGCTGATAACAACTTGGGTTGTCCTTGTCCTCTTTAGTCCGGATGACATGGCGTCCCAGTTTTCCAAAAAGAACTTCAAATTTTGATTCGTCTGACCACAGAACAGTTTTCCACTTTGCTAGAGTCCACTTTAAATGAGCCTTGGCCCAGAGAAAACGCCTGCGCTTCTGGTTCCCGTTTAGATATGGCTTCTTTTTTGACCCATAGAGCTTTAGCCGGCAACGGTGAATGGCACGGTGGATTGTGTTCACTGACAATGTTTTCTGGAAGTATTCTTGAGCCCATGTTGTGATTTCCATTACAGTAGCATTCCTGTGTGTGATGCAGCGCCGTCTAAGGGCCCGAAGATCACGGGCATTCAGTATGGTTTTCCGGCCTTGACCCTTATGCACCGAGATTGTTCCAGATTCTCTGAATCTTTGGATGATATTATGCACTGTTGATGATGATAACTTCCAACTCTTTGCAATTTTTCTCTGAGAAACTCCTTTCTGATATTGCTCCACTATTTTTTGCCTCAGCATTGGGGGAATTGGTGATCCTCTGCCCATCTTGACTTCTGAGAGACACTGCCACTCTGAGAGGCTCTTTTTATACCCAATCATGTTGCCAATTGACCTAATAAGTTGCAAATTGGTCCTCCAGCAGTTCCTTATACATTTAACTTTTCTGGCCTCTTATTGCTACCGGTCCCAACTTTTTTGGAATTTGTAGCTCTCATGAAATCCAAAAGGAGCCAATATTTGGCATGGCAATTCAAAATGTCTCACTTTCAACATTTGATATGTCATCTATGTTGTATTCTAAATATACTATTGAAATTTGAAACTTCCACATCATTGCATTCTGTTTTTATTCACAATTTGTACAGTGTCCCAACTTTTATGGAATTGGGTTTGTATATATAATTTATATTTCATCATACATGCGTTTACAGTCGAAGTTTGATGTGGCTGTGCTGGCGAATTACATACGTCATAACCAGACGTTATGTGATTGGCTTACGGGTAACCAATTTTATACTTCTGACAAGCTCCCCTCCGGCAAGCCGGTGGCACCGCAACCCCCTTTAGTCACCTAAAGGCACCCCGGTGGTGGTACCGCCGGCTTTGGCCCTTCGTCGCTGCTCGCAGCTATATTTATTTATATATACTTATGCCACCGGCTTTATATATATATATATATATATACATATATAAAGCCGGTGGCACCGCCACCTTGGTGCCTTTAGAGTTATTCTGCACGACGTGCAAAAATGTAACCCCCGCTTTGACTGAGAATGAGGTTAGTGTTTTAAAATTTTAAGGAAAACAAATATATTGAAATATAGCACATGAATGTTAAACTCATTCAGCTTCAATTACAAATAGAATCTTACTTTTATTTAAAGCAAACTATACATTTAAAAGATGGGGGTTATATGCATATTTTGTCATTTAAAAAAAATTGTTATGCTAAAAGACAAGGACTTAGAGACAAGGACTTGCAGGAAAAATTGCAGCCAGCCACACACACACACACACACACACACACACAGACAACAGCCTTCCCCTCCCCTCCCCACACAGATAAAGAGAGAGACAGAGAGAGAGAGAGAGAGAGAGAGAGAGAGAGAGAGAGAGAGAGAGAGAGAGAGAGAGAGTGTGAATGGCAGGGGAAATAAATCCATTCAAACTACAATATCTGACTTTCTGTTGCTCAGAGCGAATGACTTTAAATTAGATTTAGAAAGTTGATTGGCTTGACGAGAAGAAAATATGTGGCAAGTTTTGTAACTGTAGGTAAAACAAGCAAAGTTATAACACACTTTATGTGTCCTTTTTTAGTCATAAAATTCATTTCCTTGCCACAGCCAAACCGTTCGAGATAATCAAAAATCCGTACGGAACTTAGCAGATTTTTGCACACCGAGTTTGGTGGGGATTGGTAACCACCTGCGTTGTAATTGACTTTATGCACAGCTGCACTACTTCCTGAACTTAAGCCAGCTCCTTGTTTCCTGTCTGCTATTATTGGCCAAACTTGATTAATTCAGGTGTGTCTGATTATTGTTGCCATGACTACTGGGGTCAGGCACACCTAAATCAATCAATTTGACCAATAATGGCAGACAGGAAATAAGGAGCTGGCTTAAGTTCAGGAAGTAGTGCAGCTGTGCATAAAGCCCATTTGATGTATTTTTCCTAGGACATTTATTCAAACAACCCATAATAGCCGACATCCATTTGAGCTGTCGTAAGACTTGGAACACAAAAGTTGTTTGGCCTGATAAGATCTATAAGTGTACCGAGTTTCATATTAATTCATGCAATTTGATTTATAGACAAGTGTTCGAATCCCAGTCCAGGGGGCGCTGTCGAGCCGCCCTGCCACACCCGGATACCAGCTTCAGCCCGGCCCTGATGGCCACGGGTTCTGACCCGTGTGCAATGTTTCAAGAGTTTTCAAACCCGTTTAGGGCCCCAAAAGTGCAGAAATAGTCATATAAATAATAATAATAATAATCCTAAGGAAAACAATAGGGCCTTCGCACTTTCAGGGCTTGGGAACTATTGATGCCATGACAGATTCTGTCAAAGCAACCCCAGATACTCAGAGTGCATCCCTAGCTCATGCTCCCCTGATGCTTGCAATGTGAAACGGTTTAAATCAAAGACTTTAGGGACCTTGGTTAACCTTTGAAAGTACGATCCCCACACTGCACCACTCAGACCTGTGCCGCCGCTAATCCAGAGAGAGTACAGTAGCCTATGGAGCCGCGCTTCACAAACAGTCTTTAACCACATATTATTGTTATTTATGTTACAAACATTTAAATGACAGGGGATAAGAGTTAGTTTACTATTATAAAAATATTGTTTGGGTATTTAAAGGTCCCCTGACATGAACTTTTCACTTTCTGAGGTTTTTTATCATTAATACAAGTTCCCCTAGCCTGTATATCAGGGCTATTCAATTAATTTGGAATTGGGGCCAGTTCCTGAAGCTGAAGTAAAAATATTTTCACATGTAGGCCTATGTATTGAATAGCTTATCTTTACGCTAAGAGGTGGCGATGAGTGTTTGTCCTTGAACCATTCATTTATTTACAAACACTGATTCATCCAAAAACGATACGTTTTTATAAATGAGACAATGACATTCAATTTTTTTTATTTTATTATTATTTCATTTAAATTAATATATTGTTTTAAATAGACTAAAGCAATGAAACTTTTGTCAGAAGTTTGCATGTTAATTTGTTTGGTTGTCTTATGTTTTTTTTCTTCCAAATTGTGGTTCTCAGTTTATCCAAAATCATGCAGCTCAAGTTATCTCCTTCCTCACAGACTGAAGACACATTAGCAGAAATACTACATCATGCAGGGTCTCCATCCAGCGAGACAACAACAATTACAGCACCTTCCCAGTCTCAATCCCAGAGAGATTAAAGCGGATTGACCAAGTCTCTCAGCAGACCAATCACAAAAGACTGAGTCATCTGACCAATCAGAGCAGAGTAGACCAATCACAACAGACAGAAGGTGTGTTCGACATCGCCTGCGGCTGGATGCAACCGATCGGCGAGAACAGCCGCGTGCAGGCAGGGAGGAGCTGCAAACGGAGACGTGAAGTCGGACAATTTCTGGTTCCCGTAGTGACGGCTCACGTGGTGTTTGCATGCTTATACCACAGCTGAAGTGAAATAAATGCAACATTTGCCAAATAAACAGATATTTCAGATATTTCAGACACATTTTCATTCAATACTTTACTGCTTCATACAGCATCTGTTTGAACTAGAAGTTCAAAATAAGCCTATAATCAATGACGTGGAATCAACGTTTTTTAATCAGTTTTATTTTGATAAACATGATAAACATGACACAATATAACATTGCGACTACATTAAAAGAGTGTTTACTGTTATAAAATACTGATTTGTGAGCTTTAGTGGAACTAAACGTGTGAGAATAAACACGAAACGCACGTGATCGTTGTCATGCGGTGAATCCGGCGAATCGTGGAACAGCTGTGACATCATCAGAGCTCGTGCAGCCGCTCTTCAGAAGCTGCGCTGGCTGAGTCCTCCGGCTACTCTCGTAACGCTCTCGCGGTACTTTGATGGCATATGTCACAGTCACGTGGAGTCAGCGCTGCATCAAGTCGGACAAAATTTCTAACCGGCATGCACTGTTTCAAGTCAGCCGCCGATCGGTCTGCGCAGAGCTGCATGAAGTCGAACAAGCCTAGAGTCATCTAACCAATCAGAGCAGAGTAGACCAATCACAACAGACTGGGTCATCTGACCAATCAGAGCAGAGTAGACCAATCAGAACAGACTGGGTCATCTGGCCAATCAGAGCAGAGTAGATCAATCAGAACAGACTGGGTCGTCTGACCAATCAGAGCAGAGTAGACCAATCACAACAGACTGGGTCATCTGACCAATCAGAGCAGAGTAGACTAATCACAACAGACTGGGTCATCTGACCAATCAGAGCAGAGTAGACCAATCACAACAGACTGGGCCATCTGACCAATCAGAGCAGAGTAGACCAATCACAACAGACTGGGTCATCTGACCATTCAGAGGAGAGTAGACCAATCGCAAAAGACTGGGTCATCTGACCAGTCAGAGCAGAGTAGACCAATCACAACAGACTGGTTGATCTGACCAATTAGAGCAGACCAATCACAACAATTCACGTCTTATTGCGCTTGAACCCACAATTTCACACACAATTATATCAAAAGGTCCGTCATGGCTACTATCCTAGTAAACATAGTCCGATATGTCTGAAGTGAACGTAAACAGTGGAGAAAGAAAAGTGTGTATAATCAGAGTCCGTCTTTGTCTGGTATAATCAGTATATTGGATCTGTGTGTCGCTCTTAAAGGGACAGCAGCCTAATATTCCTGCTTCTGTGTTTACTGTTAATCAAACGGCTCACTGCAACAAACACATTGCTCTTGGCTGTATAACTTTTGTACCTTTGGACTATTTAGCTATATCTAATTTATACCATGAAGCCATGTTATTTTACATTTAATTAGGCTACTTTGTTCAATTCCTGTACCTAACCTACCTACTTTGTACTGTTTGAGTTACCCGTAAAACTCGAAAAGCACAGTTGATTTCATTTGCATCTTTGTTTTATTGTGTTTATTTGTTCTTAGTTTATTACAGACTTTTTACTCGATTTTAATAGTGGATGAAGTTTATTTTAAGTATATTTTATCTATTTATGTCAATTTTATATGTGAATTGTTCTGGCATTCCATGTAAAAAAAAAATCTGCAGAGTAAAAATAAAAATGTGCTAGCCAATGGCGAATAGAGCTTCAGTGTGTCTGTAGTGGGTTGACATTTTTTTTGTTTTTTTAAATATATGTTTATTGGTAATAGGCCTATAACCTATAGTGTTATATACAGTATAACAGTTGTATAACATAACTATATAGAATAATTTATTTAAAAGTATTTAATGTAAAAAATAATTAAACTACTTAAAATCAGTATGCTTAAAATGTTTGCAAAGAATCTTTGCTTGAATAAAACTAAAAAAAAATCTTTAAATGCATGAATGAAAGTTTAGAATGTGTGAACAGAATATTAATTTTTTTAAATGATTGCACATCAATTTCTTTAGGGTCAAAACAGAATATAAATGGAAACATAAAGACTGATAAATTTAAATATAAATCTTCCATCCTATTAACTTTTAAAGTAAAATATTCATAAAACACAAAAATATAGTGCTCTGGACTGTCCCCCAGTGACATACGGGTGTGGCAGAGCAACCTGTTACCTGAGGGAGGGTGTGTTTGTACACACACACACACACACACAGATTTGTTATGTTACAGTAGCCTATATTTTATATTATGGGCTGATGCACTTGCACAGGATCTCCATGTATTTGTCATGAATTATTGCTCTGCACACTATAACGCACTATAGTGCTGCACAGTGCAGATGTCTATGTCGAGAACTCACTACAACTAACACAACAGACTGACTGGGTGTCTTCGGTCCCAGTAACGAGAAAAGAGAAAGAAAGCGGGCCAGCGCACCTCTCTTTTCTCTGCTCTTCCGGGGGATGTGGAAGTTCAGTCGCGGCTGCTCTTCGGCTGGTTTCGCGGCCCGTGAGACTCTCTTGAGCCGCTTCTCTTCATCGGGACCGTCCGGGTATCCACACTCTTCCTCCGGGCCGCCATTTTGGCTCCATGAAGGCGCAGCAGGATCGTGCTTTTCTTTGTCGCTGGTTTTGCCTCCTCGGTGCTCCATGGCTGCTTTATTCACGAGCTCCAGACATGAGTGTTTTCTCCTCGCAGCGCTGAAAGCTGGAGGCAGTGTGGGGTTTCTGCCTGCTCAATGCGCCTCACAACACACATAAACACACACACATGTACATGCCCACTCATAGCCGCAATGTGTGTGTGAGTGTGACCGGATCACAGCAGCGCCGCCCAGCGGGCTCCCATCTTCATTAAATATACAAAACAGACAGTAGCAGTCAGGAACTGGAACCAACTTCATGCCAGTCATACACTAGTGCATATTACCATACATGTTCGGGGGAAACGAAAGCGAGAGAGAAGAAAGAAAACGAAAGGCATTTTTACAGAAAACCTTTTTGTCATTAAAAAAGGTTTGATTTGTTTTTAATCATATTTTAACATAAAATTTAAATTGTTCAAAATCATTCCATTTGACTTTATGTATAGTCCAGTCATTTTATGAAAAAATGTTCAAACAGAAACAAACTCAGCTGATTTTGTAGATTATATCCTAAATATGTCCCGAGTAAGGAAAAAAAGCCCTGAAGAATTTTAAGCCTGAAGAAAGTTTAGAAAAAGACCCAAATATACTCTGGATGTGGTTTCTGACGTGAATAGGGTAAACATTTTAACCTTTAGACATCATAATGAAAATTACTGACTTGATTACTTACGACGATATATTACAAGTATTTTTTAATAGTTTGTTAACATGGGAATACTATACATAATGTATTTACGTATGTGCTAATTTGCATAAATACCACAACATATCTAAACATTGGGTCTAGCCAGGTAAAAATGTCTTGTTGAACCTTGTTGACATTTTACAGTAAAATATATAAAGGTACAATATACAAGATTGTTTCGCCACCAGGGGTTGCTAACATCTTACATCAAAGGCGTATATTAATGACGTATATTCCGGATTAAGCGGAATTATGGATCTTGTCGTCAAGCTGGTGGATCTCTTATGGATGAGTGAATACATTGATGTTTTTAACATGACTGTAGTATGAAGCAGAGCGTGATTGCTAGATGTATACCAGCGCCACACGCAACGCGAGGCCCACGGAAGTAGTAAAGGAATAAGGACATTTAATTCTACCGAACTACCCTACACGCAAGTGCTGAATTACCCACACAGGTCAGTTTATTAGAGGAAATAAACTTGAGGTAACTCAGCACTGCTTCACTTGCTCTAACAGTTTCACTATCACACTAAACGGCATTTGAGTGTGTTGAATGTTAGTTAGGTTGTGTGTTGGCTGTATGAGAGAGTAAGCTAGATTAACATTAGAGAATAATGTTGGTGGCCTGGTGGTTTTTGGATATGTGTACCTTTAATTAAGGTCTGAAGGGAAAACATTTTGGCTACTGAGCATTAAAAGGAAGAAGCACATTGAAAGGAGCCTTTATTTATTATTATGGCAGAGATGGGTTTGGGGCTGGGGCCGGGGGACTGTTTCCAGGGGACGAGTCTAAGGGAAGAACAGGAGACTGCATAGGTAAAATAAAAAGTGTCTAGATCAAACAATCAAATGAATCCATGTCAGAGAAACAAAAGGAAATCTTTCTTACCTGAGTGAAGGCTTAGTGACAGTTGAGTGGGCCTTGAAACAACTGAATCTCCGCTGTTGCTTGTGACACAGGTGTCCGAGCTCACCCACCAACTTCAACATCTGAGAGCTCCCCCTGCGCCACCCACACAGCCCGTTCAACCCGTTCCACCAGAGCCGTCCCATCAGCGAGAGCCACGTCTTCCAATGCTAGAGGGTTATGCAGTTGAACCTGAGTTTTGTAGAGCATTTCTGACTCGTTGCTCTATGCATTTTGCATTACAGCCCCAGATGTTCAGTTAGGAACAGTCTAAAGTGGTGTTCGTCATCACTCTGCTGTCTGGCAAGGCGGCTCTTTGGGGAACCAAGACCCATACTCCAGGCTCTCTCCGAGGAGATGAGAAGGGTTTTCGATCGGGTTAGCAGGTAGGGAGGCAGCAAAACTACTCACTGATCTCCGTCAAGGTAACGACTCGGTGACGGATTATTCGATCCAGTTCCACACCCTTGCCTTGCTGTAGAGTGCCGATGGAATGAGGAGGCGCAGTGGGATAGATTCCTGCATGGGTTGGCTGACCGTGTCCAACGGGAAATCTATATTCTGGACCTTCCGTCTACTCTTAATAGACTCATCGAACTGACTTTAAGAGTTGATGCTCGCCTAAGCAGAATGGGGCGGTTCCAGCAGAACCATCCGTTTCATGGAGACGGTCAGCCCCGTCTTTGATCCGGAGCCCATGCAGGTGGGTAGAGCTCAACTTTCCATGTGTCTACACTGCGGGAAAGCAGGTCACTTCATCCACTTGTCCCCGGTAAAAGATCAAGCCCGGTAGTAATAATGAGGCTACTATCGGGTGGGATCTCCGCCGAGAAGACCTCATCATCATCATCATCATTGTCTACACTCCTCCCGGTAGGACCATGGTGGGTAACTCACACACATGACACTATGGCTTTACTGGATTCGGGGGCAGAATAATTTTATGGACTCTAGACTGGCTCAACGTCTTCACATTCCCGTTTCCACTCTCAAACACAAGATCGCCGTCAATGCTCTTAATGGACAATAATTTCCCAACATTTCATATGCTACTGAACCTATCACTCTCACTACATCTGGCAATCACACTGAAACAATAACATTCCTCCCCAATGACTCCCCACTCACACCTGTCGTACTTGGTCACCTTTGGCTTACACAACACGATCCCAGAGTCGATTGGGGTCACAATTCTGTATCTATGTGGAGTAATATGTGTCATGAGTCTTGTCTAGTGTCTGCATGTTCGTCTGTGCCGGTCCCTGTGTTCCAGGAGGAGCCCGAGGACTACCAGGACCTGTGGGAAGTATTCATTAAGTCCCGTGCTGCTTCTTTTCCTCCGCACCGTCCCTATGACTGTGCCATAAGCCCTATTCGCACGGGATAAGTATACCTGGTGACGTCTAGTCATTTGTAATAATTGCGGCGGTTGTCTGTGATCTTAATCCCATGCGAATCGGTCATGTCTGTAATTTGTAAAGTAATTCCCCTACAAATGACCTACCATATTTCGCAGAAAACGTAGGTCCTGTGATAATATTAGTCCCGTGCGAATCGACATCTCTGTGATTTGGTATCTCTGATATTTCTAAGCTATAGCCTAATGACATCATATCCGGGAGATAAGTCAGTAAATTCGAGTAAAATCACAGGCTTCCCTTATCCCGTGCGAAAATGCCACACGAAATTCAGACGTGGGTGGGTAATTTCAAATTCACACAAGGTCCCCAGATAATACTAATCCTGTGTGAATAGGGCTATAGACTTAGCATAGGGTCAGTCTCCGCCTACGGGCAATTTATATTCACTTTCTGTTCCAGAGAGGGAGGCTATGGAGAAATATATTTCTGATTCTCTAGCATCCAAGTTCATTCGCCATTCCTCATCTCCTGTGGGGCGGGGTTCTTTTTTGTGGGGAAGAAGGATGGGTCTCTGCGACTGTGTATTGATTATCGGAGGTTGAATAACATCGCGGTGAAGAAATGTCTTCACGAAATTGGATTTACGTAACGCATAACTTAAGGAAGGGTGATGAATGGAAGACTGTGTTCAATACCCCTAGGGGGCACTTTGAATACTTGGTCATGCCGTTTGGGCTGTCCAACTCCCCGCCGGTCTTCCAGGCACTCGTCAATGACGTGTTGAGAGATATGGTTGACTAGTTCATATATGTTCATATATGTTCATACCTGGACGACATTTTGATTTTTTTCATCTTTTCTTCAGGAACATCTTCAGCACATCAGTTGAGTGCTTCAGAGGTTACTAGAGAAGGGGTGTTTTGTCAAGGCTGAGAAATGCGTTTTTCACGCACAGTCTGTTCCTTTCCTAGGGTACATCATTTTGTCTGAGGGAGTGCGTATGGATCCTGACAAGGTTAAGGCTTTGATTCAATGGTCAGTCCAGATTCCCGTAAGGCCCTACAGAGGTTTCTGGGGTTTGCCAATTTCTATCTGCGTTTTATTTGCAAATTCAGCCAACTAGCTGCGCCTCTGACTGCCTTGACCTCTCCCAGAACGTCGTTCAGGTGGTCCGATACAGCCGAGGCTGTATTCGCTAAACGTAAGAGCCGCTTTGTTTCGGCACCCATGCTCGTTGCCCCTGATCCATCACGTCAGTTCATGGTGGAGGTCGATGCGTCAGAGGTGGGGGTAGGAGTGTCATCCAGGAGCTAATCACACCAGTTTTTTGGTAAAGCAACGATTCTGGTGGCCACTTATGGCTCGTGACATCCGCAGTTTTGTCTTGGCTTGCTCGGTTTGTGCCACTGGCAAATCCTCCAATCGACCCCCAGATGGGTTACTCCAACCACTAGATTTCCCACATTGCGGTAGATTTTATCACCGCCCTCCCGCCCTCTCAGGGCAAGACCGTAGTTTTGACCATCGTGCACCGGTTCTTGAAGGCGGCTCATTTCATTCCCTTGCCCAAATTACCCTCTGCCAAGGAGACAGTGGTGACTGTTGTAGATCACGTCTTTCGCTTACATGGCCTCCAATGGACGCAGTTTCTGACAGGGGTCCCAATTTGTGTCTAAATTTTGGCAAGAGTTTTGGCAAGTTACAAGGGGCGACTGTCAGTCTTTTTGCACTTTTATCATGAATAGATACACTTTTATGATGGACAGATGCACTTTTATCATGGATAGATGCACTTTTATCATGAATAGATGGACTTTAATCATGGATAGATGAACTTTTATCATGGATAGATGCACTTTTATCATGAAAAGATGCACTGTTTTTGAGGTTTAATTAAGGACTGTATATTACTGGAGTAGGTGGATTTGTATCCGCACTGGTGTGTCGGTAAGAACACATACGACTCAGAGTTTGCAGCAAAGTTTGTAGTTTACTCTTGATTCAAGTTGAATAGGAACAGTGAGTGGTAACAGTAAGTGGTATTTTGTCATTAACTCACTCACATAAAACCACTTCTGAAGGAACAATTGAGCTATTAGTCTTCTGCATCAGAGCATTCATATTTCGTTCGTCTCTTACTGACTAGGCACTGACTAACGTCATTCAATAAACGACTCTCTGATTGGCTGAAACCTTCTTAACATTGCCG